CGCCAGCCCATCCTCGGCCACGGGCGCAGGCGTCAGCGGGAGCCCCGAGGCTCCGCCCCCGGGCGGGCCCCGGGGTCGCCTGGGAAATGGAGTTTAGCCGCGAGGAGGCGCGCCGCGGTCACGAGACGCAGCGGGCCAATCGGCACGTGCCTTACTGCGGAAGGCCGCCGGCGCTTGGCCAATGAGAAGCCGGCTCGTTCCCATCCGGCTTCCGGGACGGGGCCGTCATGGCACCACCCGTGAGATACTGCATCCCCGGTGAGTGAGCGCTTCCCGGGCAGCGCGCAGGCCAGGGACGGGAGCGGGGAGGCTGGGACGGCCGGGAGCTCCTGGGGCCCCGCGGCTGATGTGGCGCCTCTTCTGCAGGCGAGCGTCTGTGTAACCTGGAGGAGGGCGCCCCGGGCAGCGGCACCTACACCCGGCACGGCTACATCTTCTCGTCGCTCGCGGGCTGCCTGACGAAGAGCAGCGAGAACGGCGCGGTAAAGGAGCCGCGCCCGGTCCCTTCTGTCTGTCTTTCCCCTGGGCCGCCCCGAGTCTCCGCCCTTAGAGACCGGCGCTGCGGACGCGTCTCCGCTGTCCGCTGGGTAGAAGGATTTGGTCTGTCTCTTCCAGCCGTGGTCGCCGCCACCGCTGCCGCCGCACACGTGCCCGCCCCGCGCTGGTCGGGCTGCTCTCTCTCGGTTGTGCTGCTGACACTGAGGGAGGGAGGCTGGGACAGAAGCAGCAGGGAGCTGCATCCCCATCTGAACCTCGCCTGCTTCTCCGGCTTTATCTGGCTCCGGTATCTCCACCCCAGCTGGCAGCAGCTTAGTCAGCCTGGCTTCTTCAGGGTCGCTAATGGCCAAGCTCTCCCGCCGCGGAGCCTTTGCACACATGGCATCCGTCTGGAACACGCTCCTGCCCTTGGCCTGTTGAATTCCTGCCTCCTTCAGGTAGCCACTCGAGCGTCACGCAGAGAAGCCCTTCTGGACCGCTAGCTGAGGAGAGGAGTGGTGTGGTTTTTGTTCCGTTAAACAGGCACAAAGAACGCCATTCTTTTCTTCCGGGCAATTCAACAGTCAGTTTTTTTATTTCCCACCAGACTCTTCCCCTGCTTGACTCTAAGTTCCATGAATGTTGGCCCACCACTGTGTCATCAACATCTAGCACAAGGCAGCTGCTCAGTGCATGTTTGTGGATGGCCTGAGTAATATTATCCTTTCTTGTCCCGAGGTTGGCCGAGGATTAGCTCAGGATCAGATAAGCAGTCTTCGAAGTGGCAGCTTAAAGACAGGTAGCACAATAGAAAGAACTTAAGTTCTAGCTAACTAGACCTTGATTCAGCTTTGGGTAAGTAACTTAAGCTGCTTGTTCTTCCTCATCTGTAAAATGAAGAGCTTTTATGCAACTATTCTTGGGAATGTCTTTAACAGTCCGGGGTGTGTTCATTTCATAGATTCGCTTGGGCATTTTCATGTGTCAAGCACACTGCTGACCTCTGAGGTGTAGTAACAAGTCAAATACACTCGGTTTCTGCTATCAAGGGGTACAGACGCAAACCGTAAACAAACGCTCAAATGAGTGTATGGCTCCAAATGTGACTGCTGCTTTGAAAGACTATTGCAGGGTGCCATGAGAATGTAACAGGCAAACCCACCCTAGTCAGCAGAAGTGACATTTAAGCTGAATCATCATCTAGAGACTAAGTAAGCGTTGGGTGGGAGGAAAGAGCACAGTTCTGCAGAAAGAAGAGCAGATTGAAGAGACATCCTAAAGTGGGAAGATTTAGTATGTTGGGGAAACTGAACGAAGGCCAGGGGAGCTGAAGCATCGTGAGCAAGGGAAAGACTGATCAAAGATGAGCCTCCAAATATCTCTCGCACCAATAGCCAGTACCGTGCTCAAAGACAAAACTCTGCAAGAATTTCCTTAAAATAGAAGACTACAAGTATGGCCATGGTTATATAACACTTACTTGGAAGTTCCAGCCTGTGAAATAAAATGAGAAACAGAGACAGTATGACTTTGGAGGAAAGAGTCAAATTATCCATGCTTACAGGCAATATGGTTGTATACCAAGAAATTCAGAGAGAATCACCAAAAAACTTAGAACTCACCTGGAATGGTTAGATTACATCTTCTAGCAGCCTTTTTTCTGTGACCCTTGGTCCTCCTATTTTCTAAATTTTTTTGTGTTGAGATAGGTCTCACTGTGTTACCCAGACTGAAATGTAGTGGCACGATCATAGCTCACTGCAGCCTTGAACTCCTGGGCTCAAGCCGTCCTCCCACCTCAACCTCCCAAGTAGCTAGGATTACAGTCATGTGCCACCACTCCCACCTAATTTTTAAAAAGTAATATTTGTAGAAAGTCGGGCACAGTGGCTCATGCCTATAATCCCAGCATTTTGGGAGCCAGGGGAAGAGGATTGCCTAGGCCCAGGGATCGAGACTAACCTGGGCAACTTTGCAAGACTTCGTCTCTACAGTAAATCAAGAAATTAGCTCAGCATGGCATTGCACGCCTGAGGCAGAAGCATCATCTGGGCCTAGCAGGTCAAGACTGTGGTGACTGTGAGTACGCCACTGCACTCCAGTCTGGGCGACAGAGTGAGACTCCAACTCAAATTGTGTGTGTGTGTGATATATATATATATATATATATATATATATATATCTGTAGAGATGGGGTCTCACTTTCTTGCCCAGGCTAACCTCAAACTGCTGGCTTCAAACCATCTTCCAGTCCTGGCCTCCCAAAGTGCTGGGATTACAGGCACAAGCCACCACACTTGGTCCCTGTTTTCTAAAATTCCTAAGGCCGCCTTCTCAGGGATATGAATGAATCTATACCCTACCTGCCCTTATGACCTTAGCTGTGTACCAAGGAGTCTTATATTACTCTCAAGCCACAAGTACCTTGACTCAAGGCTTAGCCAGGACATTCATTTCTTCTTATTCTTTTTCTTTTTTTTTCTTATTGTTTTCTCTGTAGCTTCCTGTGGTGTCTGTGATGAGAGAAACAGAGTCCCAATTACTGCCAGATGTAGGAGCAGTTGTAACCTGTAAGGTATGTTGGTCCTAACCTCTGTGCTCAGGACACCCATTCAGTGCTGAATTCATGCTCATGCTAGAACTGAGGTATTATAGCTACAGCCACCTATAGGTACTTAAATTTAAATTAAATGATATTAAAAAGTTATTTCCCACCCAGGCACAGTGGCTCATACCTGTAATCCCAGCACTTTGGGAGGCCGAGGCGAGAGGATTGCCTGAGCCCAGGAGTTCAAGACCAGCCTGGGCAATTTGTCGAGACTTCATCTCTACAGTAAATCAAAAAATTAGCTGGGCGTGATGGTACATGCCTGTAGTTCCAGCTATTTGGAAGGCTGAGGTGGAAGGATCGCCTGAGCCCAGCAGGTTGGGGCTGCACTGGCTGTGAGCATGCCACTGCACTCCAGCCAGGGCGACAGAGGGAGACTCCAACTCAAAGAAAATTCAGTCAGGGATGGTGGCTCAAGCCTGTAATCCCAGCACTTTGGGAGGCAGAGGCCAGAGGATTGCCTGAGCTCAGGAGTTTGAGACCAGCCTGAGCAACATGGCGAGACCTCGCCTACAATAAATAAATAAATAAAAGTAGCTAGGCATGGTGGCACATGCGTGTGGTTCCAGCTACTTACAAGGCTGAGGCAGAAGGATCGCCTAAGCCCAGTAGGTTGAGGCTGCGGTGGTCCTGAGCGTGCCACTACACTCCAGCCTGGGTGACAGAGTGAGACTCCAACTCAAAAAAAAAAAAATTCCACTCACTCTACAGGCCTCTTAGTAAGATCTGTGAAGCCTAGATTTGCAGCCATGCCCAGTGCCTATTTATGTTAGACTTCAGTACTAACATAAAATCTCACTCTGAAGGCCATGCTGTAAGAAGAGTTTTTTAAGTCTGTGCCTTATTATCTCATTTAATTCCCACAGTAACTGGGTCAGGTGGCTGGAGTGGCTCTCGTTGGCCTTTGCAGGTGTCACTTTGCAGAGCTAAGTAGGCGGCTTCTTGCTTTAAATCCCTCACTTAGTAGGCTTGCTTGAACCAAAGTCCTAGTCATTGGGTTTCTCGCTGCCTCCTCTAGCTGACTGCTGCTCACGCTCTGCTGCTGGTCCTTCTTGGTCCCACAGGTCTCCAGCATCAATTCACGCTTTGCCAAAGTTCATATCCTATACGTGGGGTCCACACCGCTCAAGAACTCTTTTCGAGGAACTATTCGGTAAGCGGCATCCTTGTCCTACACCTGCCTCTGCCCCTGGAGTGGGATTAGGACAGACGGGAGCCTGGAATGTTTAGGAACATTTCCAGTTCCAGCTGCTGCCCCTTCCTCTCTCTTCGTTGTGCTTTGATTCTCTCCCAGTGGTATCCAAAGAAAAGGTCAGATGGTCTCAGACAAAAGGAAAACATTAATAATAAAGGGTGCAAAAAGAAACAAGGCCAGGCATGGTGGCTCACACCTGTAATCCCAGCACTTTGGGAGGCAGAGGCGAGAGGATTTCCGGAGCCCAGGGGTTTGAGACCAGTTTGGGCAACTTGGTGAAACCTTGACTCTACAATAGATCAAAAAATTAGCCAGGCATGGTGGCGTGCACCTGTAGTTCCAGCTACTTGGAAGGAGGAGGAAGAAGGTCTCCGAAGCCCAGCAGGTTGAGGCTGTGGTGGCCGTGAGTGTGCCACTGCTCTCCAGCCTAGGCTGCAGAGTGAGACTCCTACTCAAAAGTAATAATAATAAAAAGACAGCAAAAAGACTTGAATGAAACCAAAGATTAGCGGTATCAGTATGATTCAGACCAAAGTAGAAGGTGCTTGGGAAAGTGTCTTTTTCTCTTGAATTTTATATGCGTTATACCCAAAAGTTATAAGACATTGAAAAGGTTTGTAAGTGAAATGATAGAATTTTTTTTTTCTTTGTGGATTCTTTGAGAAAAGACAAACAACTCTTGCAAGCCAAATGATTTAACTTTTGAAGCCCTTTCCAGCCTCAGGATTCAATATGGGTCTCTGGTGCTCTGCTCAGGCTCTTTATACTTCCTTGGTTTTGGGGGTTTTGTTTTTTTGTTTTGATTCGGGGTCACACTCTGTATCCCAAGCTGGAGTGCAGTGGCATGGTCATGGTTCACCAAAACCTCAACCTCCTGGACTCAGGTGATCCTTCCATCTCAGCTTCCTGAGTAGCTGAGACTATAGGTATGCATCACCATGCCCAGCTAATTTTTTTTATTTATTGTAGAGACGTCTCACAATGTTGCCCAGGCTAGTCTGCAAGTCCTGGACTCAAGCAGTCCTCCTGCCTCAGCCTCCCAAAGTCCTGGGATTTTCAGTGCAAGCTGCCATGCCCAGCCAGTGATCTGAGGATGCTTCTCCACCCTCCTCCGGGTGGCAGCTGGGTCCCAGTTATGACTTGTTCTGTCCTGGCAGCACTTTGTCTGCTAGGAATCTGCAGCGTAAAGTCATTCTCACAGATAATGAATCTTTCTCTTAATTCTTTTTTTACAGCAAGGAAGATGTCCGAGCAACTGAAAAAGACAAGGTTGTTGGTTGGTTTGGTTTTTTTTTTTTTTTAATGGCTTTAGGAATCTCAGTCCTTTAAAAGTATCAACCCAGTGAATTTCAGAGGTCCGTGGGATTGTGGAACTCAACGAAGTTTAACAAGTTTCCTGCCACAAAATGTGGCCTTGCCCTCCCTGACCCTCTCCTGTCCCATTGGTTTTTGTTCCCCTGTTGACCAGAGCAGGGCAAGTTTATTCTTTGTCTTAGAAGCCTGCATTTATCTGTTGCTTTTCCCTCAGGCTCACTCTGGGCCCTTCCAGAGACACCTGTAGGACCTCTGGTCCAAGTCAGATCCCCAAGCAGGTTACTGAGTTACATCTGCCAGGTATCTGATAGTACTGTCTGGGCAATAAGAGTTGCTGACCAACCAGGCACAGTGGCTCAAACCTCTAATCCCAGCACTTTGGGAGGTGGAGGTGAGATGACTGCCTGAACTCATGGGTTTGAGACAAGCCTGAGCAACATGGCGAGACCTCATCTCTACAATAAAATCAAAAAATTAGCCAGGCGTGGTGGTGCATTCCTGTGGTTCCGGCTACTTGGAAGGTTAAGGCTGCAGTGGCCGTGAGCATGCCACTGCACTCCAGCCTGGTTGACAGAGTGAGACTCTGACTCCAAAAAAAAAAGACGTGTTGACTGACTGAAGTGAGGGCGATTTCTGCCCTGAGATAGAAACGGGCCAGCTGCACCCGAGGGGTTAACGGTTTCTGTCGACCTGATCTGGAACTTTCCCTGATACCCTGTTCTTTCCTGACAGGTTGAAATTTACAAGAGTTTCCGCCCAGGTGACATTGTCTTGGCCAAGGTGGTATCCTTTATTCCCAGCAGACCTTTGGTCTCTTGTGAAGAGAAATGGAAGTAGAGAAACAACTCGGGGGGTGAGGGGAGAAGCCGCCCCAGCCCCATTTTCCTTCACCCATGTCACGTGGCCAGATCTCCCTGGGCGATGCCCAGTCCCACTACCTGTTGACCACAGCCGAGAACGAGCTGGGGGTGGTGGTGGCCCACAGCGAGTCAGGTGAGTGGCCCTTACCCCCCTGGAGCTGAGGTTTGAGGTGAGTCTGTTTTTTTTCTGGTTTCCCTTATCCGGGGAGCAGGAGGGTGTAGATTCTTACTACTGAGGTGAGAAAGATTCTTGTGTAAATCGTGAGGCTGGAGACTCCCTAAGGCAGCAGAATAGACTTGGCTTCTGCTTTCTCAGGTGAGGCTCACTAGGAAGCGTGGGGGCTCTCTGGTTTCTTTTCTTGTTTTTTGAGTAGGAGTCTCTCGCCCAGGCTGGAGTGCAGTGGCACACTCATGGCCACCGCAGCCTCAACCTGCTGGGCTCAGGCAATCCTTCCGCCTCAGCCTTCCAAGTAGCTAGAACCACAGACGGGTGCCACCACACCTGGCTAATTGTTTGATTTCTTGTAGAGACGAAGTTTTGCCTAGTTGCCCAGGTTGGTCTCGAACCCTGGGCTCACAATCCTCTCGCCCCGGCCTCCCAAGCGCTAGGATGACAGGAGCAAGCCATCACGCCAGCTCCTTCAGTTTCCTACCCAGAGAAAAGACAAGGGGCTTGGGCCGATCGTCGGGTCCAGCTCCAGCAGCAGCTCTTCCCTCCCAGGTGTGCAGATGGTACCCATCAGCTGGTGTGAGATGCAGTGCCCCAAGACGCACACCAAAGAGTTCCGGAAGGTCGCCCGCGTACAGCCGGAGTTCCTGCAGACCTGAGGAGCCTGCCTCACCCGTGGAGGGGCCCACTGCTTCCAGGAGGAAAGTGTGAAAGTGATAGTAAGATGCCCTTGTTTGTACTCAGATACCTGGGCTCGGCCAGCAGCCACCTCCAGGAAAATCTGCCAGAAACTTCTCTGTAGATGGAGCATCTTTCTTGTAAACCAGCCAGCGGATTTCATCCTCTGGAGTGATAAAACTTCTCTTTGGAAGGCACCAGCAAACAAAACCGTGTGAAGCTGGAAATAGCCTGTTCCTCCTAACGGTCTTTGTAAGTGCATATTTTTGCCATGATAAAACATTTTTACTAAAAGGATTTTCCGGTTTCTGTTGTCTTGAGCAGGGAAAGGCATCCAGTTGTTGTTACGACATTTAGAGCAGGGTTTGGGTTTGCCTGGTGTCGAGTGCCCACTAGCTCTGGACAAACTGACTGCGGTCTTTTTTTGTGCTTTGTGTCTGTTTATTGAGTACACAACTATACACTAGGCACTGAGTCAGGCACTTCAGATACACCCCCCCGGCCCCCCCGCATTTAGGTACCTTATGGATTAGTGAAAATGTGAAGACCCTCCTGGGCAACTTGGCGAGACTTCACCTCTACAATAAATCAAAAACTAGCCAGGCATGGTAGCGCGTGCCTGTAGTTCCAGCTACTCGGAAGGCTGAGGCGGGAGGATCGCCAGAGCCCAGCAGGTC